CAGAAGTCTGAGCACGCAGACATACATATTGATGAATGAATGCGTGACTAGTGTTTCTGTTCTCCCAAACCCTGTTTGTCCAGGATCCCACCATGACTCTTCTCCTAACTTCTTATTGATTTTCCCTCCCCTCTCCCTTTTCTATTCACGTATTCCTCTCCTTGCCTCTTTTTTTTTTTTTTTTGATACTGGGGATTGAACTCAGGCACAGTCGACCACTGAGCCACATCCCCAGCCCTATTTTGTATTTTATTTAGAGACAGGGTCCCACTGAGCTGCTTAGCGCCTCGCTTTTGCTGAGGCTGACTTTGAATTCACGATCCTCCTGTCTCAGCCTCCTGAGCCACTGGGATTACAGGCATGTGCCACCACGCCCAGCATTTCCTTCACCACCTCTAATCCTAGGTTGTCTGAGAATGTTCCTGCTTCAGGGCTATCTCTAACAAAAATTGGCCTTATCAGGCTATTTCCCCCATCATAAACAATTTTTTTCTGAGAGAAATCCTGTGACAGAGATTGTTTTTTAAAAGCAATGTTTATATTTATCCAAAATCCTTCTCTCTATAATTTCCACTTGTCCTCAGTCTGGACCTTGGGAGAGGGAAAGAATGTATCTGTAGCATCTTCCATGTGGCCAGAAGATCCTTCTGACTAAATTCCAGGGTTTCTAGTTTCTGGTTCTCTGTATATGGGTCTCCAGAACCTTTCTTCATTCTTCCCATGCTGTTTACCTGGAATCCCTTCAGCTCTCAATGTCCTTCTTAGAACTTAGTGCACACACCTGAACACACTCCGGAGAACTTTAATTAGTTAATACTTTCAAAGATGTGGCTGTGATATTCCTAAATGCATTAGTTGACTTGGAGCCAAAAATGTATCTTTTTCCTGACCTGAGTTCCAGGTGGTTAAGATTTTATCATCATTTATATATTTTTTTTTTCTTTTTTTTGGTCAGATATTATGTGAGATGGGCCAAATAAAGGTGTGGATTCTTTTCCCTCAGATTATAGTCCAGATTCTAAAATCAGTTCCCAGATAAGGCCCTCTGGGAAATTCAGGCTTTATTTATTTCCCAGATTAAGCAGCTATCTATTTCTCTAGAGATAATATTTTTAAAGGAAACTAAAACTCCCAAAGAATCCTCTATATGATTAAACTTTCCAAATGAAACTTCTACTAATCACACACAAATATGCTAGCAGTTGTCTTCAGTGGTTTAATCTGGTAAATATACTGTTCTCCCCTAAAAATGGTCCCTTTCTGAGTCAGGCTCCCTTTTCCATTTCTTCCATGAGGCAAGTTTGAGATGCCTGGCATTATATTAACTTTGTGTAGGACCCATGGTAGTCAAGATCTGTGGTTCATTTGAATGGACATCTGTGAAGGCTGTTTGGAGCAAAAAAAATCTGGACTCAGGTATTTTTCTGGAACATTTTTTTTTTTTATGGACCCAGGTGGCTCCTGACTTGGCATAGTCCCAGCTACCTATTCAAACCTGGAAAAGGCCAATTTATATTCACACCAACTGGGTCAATCAGAAGGCCTTGGAATGGTATTTAAGGAGGATGCAGGTGGAGTTGAGGCCTTTAATGCCAAGGTCATGGAGGGGCCAGGAGCTCCTAGTTCCATACTTTTCATTATTTAATATCCTGTTTAAGTCTGTTTTTCTTTTTAACTATTGTTATTGGCCAAAGCTGGATGTTAATCAGTGTTGAATTTTTTTAAATATTTATTTTTTAGTTATAGGTGGACACAATATCTTTATTTTATTTTTATGTGGTGCTGAGGATTGAACCCAGTGCCTCATGCATACTAGGCAAGTGCTCTACCTCTGAACCACAACCCCAGCCCTCAGTGTTAAATTGCAGAGGATTCTCCAGAGTACTGTCATTGAAACAATTCACTATTCCTGGGCTCCTTGTCACTTTGTCACTTTTGGTCATGTGCTTTACAGAGCCTGAGTTCTGTACCCAGATTCATCTATGCTGCCATTCTACAGACTATACTGTGTGAGAAGTGAGACCTTTGAATGCACAGATATTATGGTTATCATATCTGCAGCTGCTCCCAAGTTTAAAGGGAAAGCTAATATGAAATAGCTGAATCTAGATGTTTCTACTCCAAATTGAGGTTCCTCTAAAATAGGCAGAACTCCTCACACTGGCTAACATTCACTGTAACATTTGCTAGGTAGGAGACTATATACTTCTGCATTCTCAAGGAATCATCCTAACAACCCATGGAATTGGTGTTATTATTGCCCCCATTTTAGAAATGAGTCAAGTGAGGGTGTGCCCAAGGCCACACAATTAGTAGGAAGTGGGGTCAAGGTAAAACCCAAGCCACCAGATCCAAGATCCCTGCTCTTACCCATCACACAGCAATAGCATCTTCAGGTGTTGGGGCTGAAGCCAGAGGACTGTGTGCTTGAACATCTCCTCACTTCGTAGGCAGCCCCCTGCCTCAGGAGGTTGGTTAGATGGCCTCCAGCCTCCTACCTAATCCAGGGCCTGGCCTCTTTTAGCCAATGCCTGTTTCTCTTTCCTTGTCTCCTGCACTGACTTCTGATGCTGAAGTAGAGAAAATAATGAGTCCTCCCAAAGAAGTTTGTGCAATGCCAGCAGGGAACTCTGTACCAGAAAATTAAGCATAATCACATTTTTGAGGCAAAGAATTTCCAGTGAGATAAGGCAGAAATGGAAGAGAGAGATACAATCTGTCAATCTGTTAACTAAGTGCACTGAAATTACTCCTTATTAAGGAGTGATTTACTTGCAAAAAAAAGTATGCGAGATCTTTGTCCTTAATAAAGCCTGTAACCATCATCTTCACCTTGTGACCCTTGGCTTTCCAAGGACGGGAGTTTTCAGGACAGAGCAGGAAGCTGCCAGAGCCTGGTTCTCTCTCTTCCCATGCTGGCCATCACGGCACCTGAAGTGGAGTTCCCGGGATGCTGATATCATGAAGACCTGCCTCCCCGAGCCTCCATGAGCACAGACAGACACAGATGTTGTGGGTAGAGGCACTGCTGGCTCGGAGCAATGCTTCAAGAATGGGGCCCAAAGCCAGTGGTTCAGAAGCCTCTGGCTACCACATCGACCAAGACCTCAGCACAGCAGGGCCTCCTCCAGCCCTGTACACTTTTAGTCCCAGGACATGCCACACTCCCTTCCTGTCACAGGGCCTCTTCCCATTGCTGTTCTGATGCCCTGGTATACCTTCTCCTCTTTCTTCAGAATCTCCTCCTTTGTCATTGACTCACAGAAGGTTTCCCTGACCTCCCTGACCAGGCAATTTCCCCCTTCCACTTTCTCACAGAATCTTATTCCTCTGCCTGACAGCTCTTGCCCAAGCTGAAATTTTATATGTGTGTAAAATACTCCATGTGTGTTAATGTCCCATTTAGACTGTAGGCTCCATAAGAGCAGAGGCTTCCCCCTGGGTTTGAGTGTGACTGTGTTCTCAGGACATTGGTCAGGGTGTGGCACATTGTAGGTGCTCCATGATTAATATTTGTTGAGTGAATGATTAAAAGAATTAATAGCAGGTGGGAGGAAATGGGTGGCTAAGTCTTTTTTCAGCCCTGAGCAAGGGCACAATTATACTGAGTTCCAAACCCTTGTGGTTTTATCCTTGGCTCAGTCCTAAGCACATATGCTAATGATGGGATTGGTGGAAAGAGAGGAATGGTAGACACCACTGGTTAAAATCTCAATCAGATCAGATGCTGATGGCTTAAAATGTATATTTGTCACTTGCTAGCTATATGCCCTGGGCAAATTACTTTAACCAGCTTCTCATACCAGTTTTCTCATACCTAAAATGGGGTTGATAATGGTACCTAATTCCACTGATTGGGAGGTTACATGAAGGAAAGTAGAGACATGTTTAGCACATACTAAGTGTTCAATAAATGTTAGCTTATCTTATTATTAAAAGAAAGACCCCCAAATCTCACCACTGTCCTCCTCCTTAATCACTATAAATAGTGTAGCTGTGTGGAACTGAAGATGGAAGTAAGAATCCAAGTTAATCCATCTTAGAATGGATTTTTTTTTTGGGGGGGGGGGATTTATTGGTATTAGCAGTTCTATGGGAGTTGGTGAGGAGTGAGATTCAAGAAAGAAGAATATTTTTAACAAGTAGGCATGCAAAAAGAACTTTTGAATGTGATTAAAAAACAAAGAAGATACATTTACAGCATTCCCAAGAGAAACCTTCAGAAGGAAAATATGACAGATCTCTAGGATGTTGGGGTCATTGGGAGGTAGCCCTGACTCAGTTCCTTCCCTGTGCATGTCTCAGAGGTTCTTAGTCTGTGCAGAAGTTGGGATCCGGCCACCTCATGCATCCTTTGCTAGGTGGGCCTTGCTTCCTATGAAGGTGCAATCCCAGAGGGATGGTCAGTTCAGTTGAAGCCAAGGGCTATGTTGCTGAAACAGAGTCCCTGAAATTTGATTTAATCCCTCTTTGAACCAGTTGTTAGTCTGAGGCCCCCTAGCTGTGAAGTCAGAGCTCCTGGGGGTTCCTACCCACTCCTGGCTGGTGTGTGAGCTGCTGAAGAATGCCATTTGCCCTGAGTTCTTGCGATTTCTTCCATCATTGGACCTGAATGGTTGGGTTCCTACTTTCTGAGTTAGCAAGAGGGACTATCCTGAATATGGTCAAGGGTAGAAATAGAAGCCATTCATTCTGGCAAATAGGCAGGATCTCAACCACCTTATTTGTGTAAGGATAAACAGCACCTGCATGCTATTCAAAGACACTAAATGAAAAAGATAACCAAGAGAACTGATTATTGAAATAGTTTCAAAATACCGACTTGCCTCAAAATAGGACCCTTATTTAGTTTGTCATAAAATACAAATTCCAGTGAAGCAAAATGTTTAATACTATCTAATCACATTACCACAAAAGACCCATGACTATCATCACTTTGCAGATAAGGAAATAAAGGCACAGAACAGTTAAGTCATGTGCTGAAGATCACACAGTTGTCCATGGGGGAGCAGGTGGGAGCCCAAGCAGCCAGGCTCTAAAGTCATCCTTTACTACTACCCTGAACCTTCACCCAATCACCTCTATAAGATCAATTCATCCTCCAAAGTTTTATGCTAAATGATGCAGAGAAAATTATAAATTATGGCTTTGCAAAGCCAACCTTCAAAGAGATCTGTTAGGACCCATGCAGAAATGTTAATATCAAGAATTTAAATATAACATACTATAGTCTAAGTACTAGCCTAAACACTTCATTTAATCCTCACAACAAGCATTGTGGTGGATACTGTTGTTAAAAAGTAAACTGAGGTACAATAAAATCTTAAAGAGTTTATTTAAGCTAATAGCAATTTGTCAGACAGACAGTTATAAAGGGGAAGTGCTTCAGGAACTCCACCATGGAATCAGGGAGAGGCTTTTACAGCACAAACACAAAAAATACTTGCTGGATTGCAGTTATACAATTGTCTTATTTGGTCTATCCCACTGGGAAGTCCCTACTTAAATAATTATAAGTTTGTTGGCTGCTTCCGATTAGTTGAGCTTAAGTTCTGCTTTTCTTTAATAGAAGCATTTACAAGAACTAGACCAAGGTAGGGTTCCCTTGTGTTTGCAAATCGAGCAAAGTTCAGGTCAGTAATGGACCAAACTGACTTTGTCTGCTCCAGGATTCTTCAGGCCTGGCCTTTACCTTATCATCTCCCCTTTACACTGATGAAATAGATAAGTGCTTAAAAAAGGACAAAGTTTACATTTAAACTTAAGCTCTTAAAGAGATAAAAAATGTGTCCTGAGGAACAGAAATAAGGACAAAGCCAGGGTGCTGAGATACAGATGGCTCACTCAGCACATTAGCACTTAGCAGTCTTTTGGAATGTGCCTGTTTGGACAATGGCAAATTCATTCAGCACCTTTCCATCCCTTCTATGATGCTTCAGTTTAAAATGAATTATTCAACAATTGCCTACTGAGTGCCTGCAACATGCCAGGCCCGAGAATGTCCACTGGGATGGAGTAAGTTCAGGTACTCACGAGAACCTTGGAGGAAACAGAGAAGGATGTTCACACCAGACTAAGGAAGTGAAAACTGGAGGAGTGTGGGTGGAGCATTGGATGAAAAGTCACATCTTCACACCCCAGCTCTTGCCACAAAGTCAGAAAGATTTTAGGGCGCGGGCCCGGCCTCGGCAGGGGCGGCGGCAGAGGCCGGGGCGGGCGGGAGCGGCGGCCCCAGCAACCCCGCCTTGCTGCCGCCGGGAGACCCGCAGCTTATCGCGCTCATCGTGGAGCAGCTCAAGAGCCGCGGCCTGTTTGACAGCTTCCGCCGGGACTGCCTGGCGGACGTGGACACCAAGCCAGCTTACCAAAACCTGAGGCAAAAAGTGGATAATTTTGTGTCGACACATCTGGACAAGCAGGAGTGGAATCCTACGATGAACAAGAACCAGTTACGAAATGGGCTGAGGCAGAGTGTGGTTCAGTCAGGAATGCTGGAAGCAGGAGTAGACAGGATTATTTCTCAGGTGGTGGATCCAAAACTCAACCACATCTTCAGGCCACAGATTGAACGAGCGATTCATGAATTCCTGGTGGCCCAGAAAAAAGAAGCTGTGCCAGCACCTCCTCCTGACCCAGAGAGCCAGGACCTGCCTGCCCCGTCCCAGGACACTTCCTAAGAATATTCCTGGCACCTTTTGAAAACTCCATTTAATTAATTGTGAAGAAATGGATCCCTGTTCCAAGAGAGCATGACTTCATCGGCTGGGGGCTTCTGAACTCAAGATTTCTACCCTGACTGTGGGGCAGTGTCCAGATAGGACAGGAGCAAGCTTGGCAGTGGGAACTCTGTCTGTGGGTGCCCCTTCCTTGGGCTGCCACTGGCCTGTTTGTCCAGGGGTGTGGCACCCAGTACACACTACAGAGTATGAACACTACAGCCGCTGGGATGGTTCCCAGACAGCTTTATACTTGAACAAGGAGACTGCACATGGACTTTAGGGTTTGTGCTCTGGGATGACTAGAGGCTACCACGGAAGACCCTAACCAGTCCCAGAGGTAATTCAGAGAATAGGGACTGTAAAGCTTAGTGGGGCGTAGGCATCTGACAGCGCTCGTCCAATACCTTTCTCAAAGTTCCAGACTATGTGTACAAGCCCTTAGTATCAGATAGCCTTAAAGTTGGTTGTGACCTTCTTGTCTGTGACTCTTCTAGCCAGTTTCCTCCCCATGTCAGAGGTAACAGAAGGTGGAAACTTAGAGTGAACAAGGAGGCCGAGACATCAGGCATAAGAAAAATGTTTGCAGGTTTCCTGTGCAGGGCTGCTTCCTGTCCTCGAGCCTTGGATGCGTTTGTTTTTTAGAAAAGTAAATTATCAGTAAATGGCGTTAAGTTTTGTAATAAAATCATTTGATACTCTGAAAAAAAAAAAAGAAAGATTTTAGACATTTGCTCAGAGTAACAGGCATGAGTTTATTGAAGGGATAGAAAAAGGGAAAGGGACACTCTCAAGGGAAAGATTGGGTCCTCTCAGACAGGAAAAGGACAATGTGTCTCTCCTGCTCTCCAGTTTTATTGAGGATCCCAAGAAGTTTCCAGAGAGTTCCAAACAGGACCACCTCTTGACTTTTGACTGACAGCAGGATGATATCAGACTTTGAAGTTCTCACTACCATGAGAACTCTAGGTCTCTTTGGCCCAGCCTGACTTGTTCTACTAGGATTCTTTTTTTTTTTTTTTTTTAATCTATTTATTTTTATGCAGTGCTTAGAACTGAGCCCAGTGCCTCACACATACTAGGCAAGATCTCTGCCCATTGAGCCAGCCCAGCCCATAATTGGATTCTTATTTACAGATTTTATGGTTAGGAGAAATTATCCTTATCTCCCTGAGTTTGGGGATCTGGTCTGTAAAAAGGGTCACAAAACTTTCCCCCTTCAGGGTAACTTGTGTTCCTCTTATCAACATTATTTTAGGCCTGCACTTCTCCTGCTGATAACAGGTCATTTATCTGAGGAATGTGAAATAACTTGTCCACTGAGGCCAGGCAGGTCTGCAGGTAAATTGCATCTTGGAAAAGAAAGCATGTGGGGGTCAGCACAGTGGGCCCATTTTATAGAATGATTTCTTTAACCTTGTGTTCTCATCTATTTGTCCCCTATCATATGGACTGGGTACCAGTCCATTAAATTGAGGAATTACTGATGTTGTTGTTAGCTATGAAAATTATGTGATAGTTACATGTTTTTAAAATGCCTTATGTATTGGAATATTTCAGGTAAAATGACATAATCTCAGCGATAGGTAAATGAAATTTCATATAATTAAAATGAAAGAAGATTGGGAAAATATTGGTAATTATTGGAGCTAGTTAATGAATATGGCATAAATTATATTATTGTGCTGTATGTTTAAAATTTTTCATCATGTAAAGCTGTGTGTGTGTTTATATAACTGTATTCACTTTCCACTATAAAATCAATATAAGCATTTAAAGGAAAACATATGTATATGAAAGAATTAGCTACATGCAGTATTTGGTGAATTTCCTTGCCTTCTTTTTCTATGTACAGTTTATTTCTACACAGTTGGTGATCGTTTTGTTTTTAAAATTTTATTCATATTTTTTCACAAAGACAGTATCTTTCAAGTGATCACTTGGGCTTCATAACCACTGATGGGCCAGCTCTTGAGAGCCAACTGTGAGCAATTCATCCCTTCTGCTTTCAGAGACTTCACGTTGGTAGTCTGAAATCAACCAGGAGGGAATATTTGAACCGTGAAGATCAACAAACACTACAAACCCAAGCTTTTTAAGATGTCTAAGAGCTGGTTGTTAACCATTGACTAGCATATCACTGTTTACAACTGTCATTTTTAAAGGTCACTGAACAATCCTTTGAGTAGATACATGTTAGCACATAGTTCTATGATGTTTTTTTTTTCAAGCCAGGTACTAAGTTCCTCACTCACATTAGCGCATGCAATCCTAACAACGGGCCCTAGGGAGTAGGAGTAATTACCATCTGCATTTTACAGATGAAGAAATGGAGGCCAAAGGAAATGAAGGAAATGGCCCAATGCCCCATGACTGAGTGGGTTGGGCTCACCAGAGCTGGAGTAGAGTTTGGGTAGTCTTCCTGCAGCATCTTAGTTGTCACTGTCCTTGGCTGCTTTGTATCTCTACTCCAGTCAACAACTGGGCAGCTGCCTCAGAGGCCAATGACACTGCTTCATGAACTATCCAGGCCATGGGGACAGCTGCAAAGCCAGCAGCCCTAGTCTCCTTCCTGGAGGCTGACTGCCTGCCTTGAGGGGCCCAACCCTCAGGGGCCATCTGTTCCAGCAGTTTGCATTCTCTGTGTGGAACCCTGCTCTTCCATGGAGCCAAAGCACCAGCCTGCTTTGCCTAATGCTTAGCACTTGCAGCGTTTCTTGAGTCACTTTTGGAGCTGAGGTGGGCTTGGGGAGCCTGATGGTACACCTCAGCTTGCAGGAACCATTCTGACCTCAGAGGTCAGCTGAGCTTCTCTATTAACCAGGAGCAAGGACTCCATGGCGTGACATCCCACTCCTGTTCTCAGGAATTGCAGTGTTTGAAGCTCCCACCTGGTTTCAGGAGGACTGGGCAGGATGCTATTTCTGGTGGAGCTGCTGAGTTGCTGAGGGAGGATGGGGCCAGTCATTTGACCTCAGCAATGATCCTTTTACACGTGGAGGTATCATAAGACCTGAGTATTTCCAAAGCACTCAGGAGCTTGTGCAGGCAAGATGCTGTGTGTGCAATTCAGCCGCTAGACCAGCTCTCTCTCCGCCTGGTTTTCCCCTTGGTGGAGTCTGGGAGTACCCCAGATGGCTGGATCTGTATTCTCACATCAGAGTGATAAGTGATAAATGCAGCAATGGGGTGACTACTGAGATGTCCTTGCAGATGTCCTTGGCCAGTCCACCTTTGGGTAATTGGCTCATGTTGACCCAAGTATAGACTGCTTCATCAAGAAGTAGGAGAGAAGAAAGATGGTCTCAAAGGGACTGGAGATTTCATTACCACATGACTAAAATCATCACTGCACAGAAAGTTTATGTCCCCTACATGCAAAGCTCTGCAACACCTTAGGGACTCACTATTTATTGAATAAATGTCATTTTTACTTCAAGACCAAGGGAAAAGATCTTGTAAGTATCTAAGTTTATCCAGTTCAGAATTTCCTCTGATCTTTCGAATTCTCTAACCCGTTCAAATATCAAATAGGGATATTGGAACCCACTCAGCAGCAAATCTCTAGCCCTTTCCTGAGGGTGCTTCTGAGCAAGGAGTACAGAATGTCTAAAAAATATATAGGAGGGAGGAAGGAAAGGAAAGACAGATGATCTCTAAAGGGTTTGAAAGGAATGATTTACAGAAGTCCCCTCTTATCCATGATTTCGATTTCTGTGGTTTCAGTTACCTGTGGTCAACCACAGTCTAAAAATATTAAATGGAAAATTCCAGAAATAACCATAAGTTTATGTATCCTCAGAAGGGCAATGGTACTCTCATGCTGCGTCAGAATCCCTTCATCAGCCACCTCACTTCAGCCCATCACACAGGCACTGCTGCATCGCAGATGATCACAGTAAGGGCGGGGACAGCGCACTAAGAAGTTTAGGAAGAGAAAGAGACACAGAGCACATTTGCCTAACTTCTATTCCAGAATATTGTTATAATTATTCCATTATTTTTCTTTTCTTTTTTTTTTTTTGGTATCAGGGATTGAACCCAGGGGCACTTTACCACTGAGCCACATCCTCAGCCCTTTTTATGTCTTATTTTGAGACGGGGTCTTGTTAAGTTGCTGAGGCTGGCGGAATGCATTACAATTCTTATTACACAATTTAGAGCACATTTTTTCATATCTCTGGTTGTATACTGACTTTAAACTTGCGATCCCTAGCTGCTGGGATTACAGGCATGAGCCACCGCATCCAGCTAGTTACTCTTAATTTTTTACTGTGCTTATTTAACAAATTAATCTTAACTGTATGTATATATAGAAAAAAAACATAGTATATGTAAGGTTTGGTATTGTCCCTGGTTTCTGGTCTTAGAACGTATCCTCCATGGATAAAGGAGCTCCCACTGTACATTTAGGATACCCACCTAGGCTCAGATTTGCTTTTTTTTTTTTGATTGTAATATTTAGTACTATTGGACATTAACTTTTTTTTAATTTTTATTGTTGGTTGTTCAAAACATTACATAGTTCTTGATATATCATATTTCACATTTTGATTCAAGTGGGTTATGAACTCCCATTTTTACCCCGTATACAGATTGCAGAATCACATCGGTTACACATCCATTGATTTACATATTGCCATACTAGTGTCTGTTGTATTCTGCTGCCTTTCCTATCCTCTACTATCCCCCCTCCCCCTCCTCCCCTCCCCTCTTCTCTCTCTACCCCATCTACTGTAATTCATTTCTCCCCCTTGTTATTTTTTTCCCTTTCCCCTCACATCCTCTTGTATGTAATTTTGTATAACCCTGAGGGTCTCCTTCCATTTCCATGCAATTTCCCTTCTCTCTCCCTTTCCCTCCCACCTCTCATCCCTGTTTAATGTTAATCTTCTTCTCATGCTCTTCCTCCCTACTCTGTTCTTACTTACTCTCCTTATATCAAAGAAGACATTTGGCATTTGTTTTTTAGGGATTGGCTAGCTTCACTTAGCATAATCTGCTCTAATGCCATCCATTTCCCTGCAAATTCTATGATTTTGTCAT